TAGCTGAGGCCTAGGGGTGTGAGCTGTCTTCCTGTCTGCACCACTGAGCCGCGGGTTCCATTCCTGTTGAGGCATATCCCTGCACCCGAAGAACTGCAAAAAATTGTTGCAATGCCAGCATCAGGCTCAGGTCGACAGGCCAGTCACAAAAACAATCACCAAATTGCATAATAATCAGCGACAAAGCTAGGACGTTACCAGGAATCGGAGAACAACATTTCCTCAAATTGTATAGTCAGTATAGGAGGGCTGGAAATGGACAACCTTATCCAGAGAATTAGTTCGAATTAGGATCGCAGCATAGCTAGCTGTTAAGTTAAGAGAGGTTGTAATTCTGATGGCGTGCAGGAACATTCGAGTTCTATGATTTCATACAGCGATGAAAAGAAGCTGAGGCCAGAGAAAATTGAGAGCAAGTCAAACGTTTGACGATGCCATCACAACGATTCCGAAAAGTGATTACTCACCATAGCAGGTGATCTGAATGGTCACGTCGGCAGTTACAGAAGAGGCCTGGAAAAGGAGCATGGAAGGAGCACGGAGGTGGAAGGGTAGGGGATAGGAAGGCAGTGGAAAAGAGGTGACTGGTAGAGAACTCCAGGGCGAGGTGCGGAAGTGGCACGAAAGGCTGAAGGAAGGGTGATGACTCCCGCTAAACGTGAATATTCATAAGTTGCTGATCCCCAAAAAAGTGTACTGAGATGATCATGATCGCGGTCGGCCCTGAGGAAAGCATCGAAAGTGCAGAGGACCTGTGATGTCAGAGTAGCGGGCTGATTAATGCGGATCAGGCAGTAAAAGCACGGATCAAAGCGGCATGGATGAAATGGAGGGAGTCCACTGGAATCCTCTGCGATCGAAGGTGCTCCAGAACGCTCAAAGGGAAGGTGTACCGGACAGTGGTAAGGCCTGCGATGCTCTACGGCAGCGAGTGCTGGCCCCTGAACAAGAATCACGAAAGGCAGCTTCACTCCGCCGATGAGGATGCTGAGATGGGCCTGCGGCTGGACGCGACTGGATAAGGTCAGAAACGAGGACATCACAGCTGTAGTGCAGATTGCCCCTGTCAAGGTGCCGAAACAACTTCTGCGATGGTATGTACACATGCCAAGAAGACAACAGCTTAACCATTCAAAGAAAAGAATGGACTTCGGAGGTAAAGCAAACGATCGCTAAGCCTGAAGATGGGAGAACGGCTTCGTCAAAAAGGACAACTACTCGTGAAGTCGAGCTGCCGCGGCAGAGAATGCCTCGGATAGGACCACAATAGCGACATCTGGTAAAGCTGCGGAGCCCCTGCGATCTGCCCGGCGGGGGACTGGACGCTAGGGAGATGCGATGCTGGTGCATGATGCATACTCGAATATAAAATGACGATCAAATTGGCTCATATTGCCAAGATTTATAAGGCGAAACTATCCACGGAAAACAGATCGGTAGCTACCTGTCTAGGGCCCGATACTTACGATTATAGAGAGATAATGTTTGCGAGTGAATAGCACTAGCACTCGTGAGGTAGGTACCTGAAGGCATCAGCTAGGATTTCTTGTGAGATACACGACTAGCTTTACGCTTGCTGGGATTCACACCCACCCTACAAGACCGGCCACAGCTCATGCGTCATTTCAGCAACCAACCAGTGAATCCTTGATTCTGAATGATCCTTCATTTCTACTTCTCTACAAAGTTTTTTTTTCTGTCGTAAATTGTAAACTTGATGTTTACCCACAAGGAAAGGCTCCCAGGTGGCCATGGATATTCGGAAAGAGGTGTATACCATTAGCTGTGCCCTTGAGCGCTGATCTCAAACTCTACATTCAATTGGGCCTAAGACGATATCTCTGAACGGAGTTATGACCGCAACCAGCGCAACGGTAGAGGGTGGAACTCACAGTCAAAACGTCGTGAGATCGGTCCCCTCCCGTCAGTACTGTTTTGCATTCTTCACAACTTCGTTAACTAGGCTACTGAAAAATTTGGCCCTATTTTCCAAAATCTAGCGGTTTCATTGCTTTCAACGCCCCCCATTACCCCGCCGACCTACTTTCAACCGTCCATGGTGTGGTTTTCGTAAGTTTGTTTCTCTTAGGAAACTGCGCCTTTTCGCGTGAAACTTTGTTGTCTCTGGTGATCACAACTGACATATTCGTGTTGGGAAAGGCCAGAATTTTCGGATTTTTTTTTTTTTGAGCACAAAAGCTTGCGTATGCACCAATTGCACCCGTGTGATGAAAGGATAAAGGATAAAAGGATAAAGCATTTGCCGTTGATCAATCCCTTTTTGGGATGCGGCACGCATTCTACTTCCATTTGTACATTCGTAGTGGCGTTTGAATGCGATGTGGCCTAATGCGGGGGCCAGCCGATGTTCAAGTCAGTGTTTTTATCCTCCCAGACAAGTCTGGTACCAATTAACCGACCCCGGAGGGATGGAAGGCTTGGTTGGCCCGGGCGACTCACGACCCAGGATTTGATCCCCGGACCGCTCGCGTGGTGAGCGTGCCACTTGCCACTACACCACTTCCGCCCTTGTGATGAAAGGATACAACACAAAACGGGATAAAACAGCAGGAACAAATAATGGAAGCTGGAACTTCTCTACCTTGTGCAGAGTAAATGACAGGCGCTTGGCAACATACACTGTTCATAAAGCTTTACTTTTCTTCGAATCTGAAAACATCAGACAAACAGATCACGAAATGCAATCGGCACATATTTAGTAGTACGATATCAGTCAGCTTTCAGGTTCTTTATGTTACGAAACAATAAATAAGAACTTTTAGTCGAGGCAAAATGTTTCATCACAGCTTATTGTCAATAGCTATCACAGACACGATATAATACTTGAAAACAAAGGAGAAGGAAAACAAAGGCTGCAGTTATAGCTCTTGCCTACTTCCAATTTCAATGGTACCCTAGAAACTTCTTATCTTGGCGAACACTATCGGTGCGAAGTAGGCTGAAAGAGAGCCACACATTTAAAAGTCGAGATACATACAACAGTCATGTGCTGCACCCACTGAGGAAACTTTGCACAGGCAAAGTGGTCACATTGTTAGAGCAAAAAAAAGTTAATTCAGATGAACGGAGGACGATGCTAGTGCTAGTTATTGTGCAGAAACCCATTTCTTCTATGCAATTGAACCAGCTGTGCGAGAAATAAGAGAAATATTTAACAAAATGCTCCCTCCATAGTAAAGAAATCGATGGGGAAGCGCCGAGCTTTGCTGAAAAAAAAATGCTGAACACCTTTGTAAAGGAATTTCAGAGAACTTCGAGGCAATGAGGCCTATTTTTGTAAAAAACGCCTGAGAGCATTTTCACTCAAGTCACTATCGTCCTGCTTATTCCCCTAAGCCTGGGTTGCTTTGCTGTTCAAAACACGAAACTCGTCGAGCTATCGTCTTCCCGATGCCTCTCAACGCTGTTTCGGCCTGTTAGCGCTAAAATAACGACTTCTTGTAAACAAAGCGTAAACAGCAAGTAGAGAAGATACATCTCCACGGATCAGCTAAAAGCAGGTCTACATGCTCGTGAACAGGTAACCTCTACCTACAACCACTAAGCGGCCAGTTCTACCACACTCACAGCCTGCAAGCAGAACTCGTAGCTGATTGTTGAGCACGCACCTCAGTCCTACATCGCTTTGGATCACTGCGGAGCAGCTGGTTGACGACGGTGACGGACTGTTGTAAAAGATGCAGTCGCATGAGCGCATTCGTGTCAAATCATCGGGTGTGTTGTGTGTGTGGCTGTCACAGTGTTAGCACGCAATTATTCCTCGCAATGGTTACAGTAATCACATTTACAGCAAAGAAATGAATGCAGCATCAAACACGAATAAAACGCCCTCATTACTTAAAGTTATGACCGCGTTACAGCTTTACTCGTGAGATTAAGCGTGGTCATGAACACATACAAAATCACTCATTTTCACATCCACCATTTCTTTCTGCCTACAAACCACAATACCGTATTTCCCAATGATTTAGCGTTGCAGACCTACAGCAACCATATCAAAGGGGCGGTGGCAGGGAGGATGGCTGGATGGAGGACGGCGATAGATTGGATTAAGCGAATTCTGCTCGAGTGACTTCTGTTTTAGATAAACCTGCCAATGGTGCCAAAGCATGTAGTAGAGGTAATCCTTAGGCCGATGTCATAGTTTTGCGAATCGCTGGATCCGAGCGTTGCGCCAGCGAATCGAACGTTGCGCCAGCGAATCGAACGTTGCACCAGCGAATCGAAACTTTGCGCCAGCGAGTCGAACGATGTACCAGCGAGTCGAACTAGGTACCAGCGACTCAATAGTGGCGGGACCCAACGTTTAAAGGAAGCCCGCCACTTTCAAACAGTGTCACGTGACAGTGGACGCTGTTTGAAAGTGGCGGGCTTCCTTTAAACGTTGGGTCCCGCCACTATTGAGTCGCTGGTACCTAGTTCGACTCGCTGGTACATCGTTCGACTCGCTGGCGCAAAGTTCGATTCGCTGGTGCAACGTTCGATTCGCTGGCGCAACGCTCGGATCCAGCGATTCGCTAGCGAATCGCTCGATTCGCAAACTATGACATCGGCCTTAGAAACTTGGCCGAGCTGCTAGCAGTAAGACCACAAAAATGCGGTATCATAATCGGTAAACATCGATTACTACTCGAGCGAGTGAAAGAACAGCCATGTAGCAGAAATCTAGAAAAACCTCCAACTCTGTTGAAATCTCACTAATCGTCTTTTGAACAGTGAGGTCAAAGAGAATAGGAAGTTCCTGTGTTATTGCAAGCGGCCCAGACGAGACAAATGATCGGCTGCCACGAACAAACAGCCGCGCACTTGAGTGTGTGGGAACCACGTCGTAATACTAGACGGCTATGACGTGATTCCGGAAGCTCAAAAGAAAAAGGAAAAGCATAGGCAAAAAGGCTTACACATTCACCGGAGGAGGAGCGAAAATACCTAGTCAACAATCTAGGGAGAAAAAAAATCGAAATTCAGTTAAATGAAACCTATACAAACAATTCGGCCTTCACCACCCGTCGGAATGCCGTCACTAAAGATTGCGACGACGAATACATAAAGATGCTAAATATGACTAGAGTCGCTCCCAAAATAAACACTGCTGAAGGCTGGAAACTGAAGAAAACCATCGAACCAATCGTCGCCAAAATGATGGCAACCGAGGTGGCGAAATTCTTAGCAATGTTGTCGGCATACTTTATGCATACGGCAACCGAAAGTCCTGAAGTGAAAAAATGTTCATGCAAAGTCGACTACAACTCAACACTATCACGCCCCCTCCCAGGAATACGTACGCAAACTTGCTAGTTTTTATCGCCTTCACCAAATAGCTCTGTGAAGTCTTTTACACACACTTTGGAATAACACTAGTCCTAATGACGCTTTGGAAACAAAGATTGGCCCTCAAATTTTGAAGATTCCCTACTTATTTTCTACCCGAACTTCTAGCCCTGTCTTCCACTGTTATCCCATCTGCTTAGCACATTCTATTAATACTCGCTAGCTTCTCCCAGGGTTTTCGAAACTGTCCCTCAAGTATCAGATGTGAATAGTAGCACTTTTGTATTGAAACAACTCGTGACCCTCAAAAACGTATGCTATCCTTCCCCGAAGAAAGAACGAAAATCCCTTTGAATCTCTTTGTCTTTCCAACCTGAACCGTTCTAAGAAAGAGCCTTCATATTTGTAAGGGATGGATATGGGAATGTGCAAAAGTAAGCATGAGCTGAAAGGAGGCTATGGCCGATGTCAGTTTGCGATTCGCTAGCGCCCATGATAGCAGCGCGTACAGTAAAGCTTGATACGCTGTACGCGACGCGATCGCAGGCGCTAGCGAATCCCTCGATTCGCAATGTCTAACATCGGCCTATGTCGTTGTGAACAAATTATGGTGAAGAGTTTTTTGTTCCCCTACCCTGGTGGAAGGATAGCATGCGGCCCAAGTTCGGTACGTCGGGTGCAGACCATACACCACAAGTGACGACGGCCTCCACAAAATGTAAATGTTTTCTGCCAATGAAATGATTAGCCTGTTGCAGTTGTATTCTATCAGTTGTCACTAATTACAACTATCATTTACCAAAAATCAGCTATCACTATGAACCACTACTAACCAGATTTACTTGGAGGCCGTCGTCACTTGTGGTGTATGGTCTGCACCCGACGCTCTTCTCGTTTTTCGAAGGGGAGGGTACCTCCTCACCGTTCGCTCACTTTAAAATTCCCAAACTAGCTCAAAACTCATATCAAAACTACTTCTTCTGAACATTTCTTCTCACGCGCAAAGGTGAGCGTTAAAGGAATCTTCCACGGAAAAAGCTCCGCCCTCATTACCACAGAAAACGATACCTTAAAGGAATCTTCCACGGAAAGAGTGATCATTTTGTCTTGTGTGTAGGATTAGTATTATCGAAACTAACGCTTATGTTCCGTTCTTTTTGCTATGCTCATGAGGCTAGGGGCCTAAGGGGTATCGTTTTTCTGTGGTAATGGAGGCGGAGCTTTTTCCGCGGAAGATTCCTTTAAGAAGTTAAGGGTAGGAAAGGGA